AAAGAAAAATTATGAACTTATGGAAGGAAAGAAAAATATCCTTCACCAAGCAAACGAGAGAGAGAGAGAGAGAGAGAGAGAGAGAGAGAGAGCGAGAGAGCGAGCACGCACAATGTGAGGGGAGAGAGGGGAAGATTCCCAAATTCTTTCTCAGTACATTTATTTCTAACAATTGAATAGGCCATTTCTCTTCTCAATGTGCACTTTTCCCAGCGTGAGTGTCCTCTCTCCTCGATGGGACAACATCCTCTTCAGTTAGTGGCCACTACATACTGAAGCTTTTAAGAAACATGGAAGAGGACATGTGAAGTGTAGCCTCAAAACATTAGTTCCTTTTACCTCAGTTAATTATTACTTCAATATATTCATTTTCTTTCCTGGTTTGGGTCAGAATTTTGGAACATAAAGGCCTTTGAGATCTTCCAGTTCAATACTCTCAAGTCATGGAGCTAATAAAAATAATAATAGCTACTGTTAAAGGACCACTTACAAAATAGCAGGTACTATGATAAGTGATTTATGAGTATTATCTGGTTGAATCCCATAACCTCATTAGGTAGGTATTCATATTGACCTCATTTATAGAGAAGCAAATTAAGTAATAACTTGCTTAGAGTCATGTGGTTAGTAAGCACTAGGCAGCAGAGCTGTGACTCTGGTAGAGGTGTGTGATTCACTACCTCTGTTCTGTCTGAACCACCACATTGCTGTCCTAGTGCTGGGCTTGGAGGGTGACATGAGTTTACGACCTAGTTTTATTACTTCGAGTTTATTTAGAAATCATATCCCTACCCCTAGTTGAGAGGGCTGGCTTTGTCCTTTAGTTTTACCTTGTTGGAGATACGCAAAGGTCAACTCTGACTCCATGGCCCCCTCTGGTCCCACAGGTCACAGCAAACCAAGATCCCAGCACAGCAGCCGACAGAGGAGTCGTATCCCACTAGCGGGTCTGAGGAGAGCGAAGACGACACTAAACCCAAGGAGAAGGCCACAGACTGCATGTCTCTTCCCTGGGAGAAATTAGCCCAGTCACAGGAGAAAATAGCTCAGCTGATTAAGGAGAAAATGGTAAAAATAAAAAACTCACTTGGTTCTAGTTTCCATTTAAAAATATGTCCGTGATTAGAGAAGTTCTGCCTTAACTGAAGCTTGAAGTACATGAAGTAGAAGGTGCTGTATTTCTTTACAAGTAGGAGAAAATAGGGCAGAGCAGAGTTGGGGAGCCAGCCCACCTTCGGGTTCCACATGTGGGTCACTGTACATGTCTCCCTGGAGTATATGTGCTCCAAGCTTTAAACTAAAGATTAATGTTTGCTTCTTCCTGTTGCTGTTTGATTACCTTTAACTAAAAACATTTTTTTATTTATCCTGGTAGGCTTCAGGATATTTCTTGGGTAACAAGGAGGCCAGGATAGTGAGGTAGGAGGTTGAGAACAAGGGTAGGCAGGCATTCTAGGCTCAGGCCTGGCCACAGTCTGTGTAGGTTGCCTTTCGTTACAGTGGAATCATAAGTGAACCAAAGCACAAGAAATGGGAGGGAGCAGCAGGGGCCAGTGAGTTCCCACATGTACTTCTAAGAGTGAGGCAAGGACTTGAGCTGGGACCTCAGGGTAAGTGTTTAGCAGGAGTGTTAAAAATCCAGGAGCCTGAGATAGCATGACAATGACCCTCATTAATAGAACACTGGTGCTGGCCTGCTCCCACGGCATGATTTATCAACAGAGGACTTCTTGGCCATTCCAGGACGATGAAAAAGTGATCTTGAAGTACATACATGAAAAAATGCTCTGCAGATGGCTTAGGAAAGGCTGAGAGGCACTTCAGAGGCAGTTAATAGAAGCTGATACCTCCCCTAGATGGATATATCTGTAAATTCACTTCTGTATGTTACCCAGAGAAATTGGAAAGGACATTCATCCTGGTCTGGACCCATCAGTATTTCATACATCCAGGCTAGAAGGATCATTTGTAGAAAGACAATTTTGTTTCATACCATTTGCTATGGAGGCTCATGGTTCCTTGGCCAGTTTGGGTAATGACAGATTTAGATGCCAGAGTAAATCCAACCCAGCCCAGTACTTGTGGCCCTGAGGGGCAGGAGGATTGCCAGCAGCAGAAATGCTGCATTTACCTCTAGAGCCCACATTGATTGTCTCACTGTCTCCAGGGCAGGAAGTTTGGGGATGGATGACTACAGAATGTCCAGAGCCAGGACAAAACTCAAAGCTTTGAACTCCCATTCCAGTCATTTTTCATGGTATTATGCTTCTTCCTCAAAATAGAACTTAGTATTTAGTGTAATCGGCCCATGGAGAACTCTCAAAAATTCTCATCGAATGAACGTTTTTAAAGCAAGAGGGGAAATGCCCCTCTAACGTTGCTTGCATCTGTGTATTTGAGCTGGGAGCAGGCAAAGTGTCACGTTAGGGAGAAAACAGGAATTGGGAGGGAGCAGTCCTTGGGGTTCTGTCCTGTGTATTACCCTGTAAATAGGTTAAATTTCGGTAACACTTAACAACTTTGGATTACTACGATGCAGACTCATTTTCCTCCTAACTCCGTGATGGTATAGGTTTCCAAATAGAAAAAGAAGCTAGGACCTAGGGTGATCTTGCTCAAAGCAACAGTCAGGAAACATTCCAGCCAGGGCTGAAACTCCAGGCTCTGAGTCTTTGAAGTGCTTTTTTCACCTTCTCAGGAAATAAATGCCTGACTTTATTAGTGCAGCTAATGAATGACTGTAAAGTCACCGAAACCTGTGACTTGAAGATAACAATTCTGTGATTTTGTAGAGAGCTCTGCCTATCTGTTCTTCAGGGGCAGGGGGCTCTTTCTCCGCCCCATTCCTATCCTTGCAAATAGAGAGATGATTTATTTGGCAAATATTGAATGAGTATCTCCTCTGTGCATTGGACATACAGTAGTGAACACGAGGAATAAACTTATGTCCTCGAAGGAACTTTTATTTGGGGAGACAGATCATAGACAAACAAAAAATAATAGTTAATATAATATCAGAGGGTAAGTACCATGAAGAAAAAAAATCAAATAGGTAATGGGATAGTAAGTGATGGGGCAAGAGTCTGTTTTAGATGAGGTGGCCAAGAACGGTCTCTCTGAGGTGAACAAGACAAAAACGAAATGTGAGAGTAAACGACATATGAATCCCAAGCCAGGAGAATAGGAGGCTCAAAGCCCTCCTAAGAAATTAGTTTGGAAAATCAAAGATATTTCAAAATCCATAAGATTATAATCATCATCATCAAACTATTTGGTCATCATTGGAGGATGCTAGTGAACAAACTCATTATTTTGAGAGCTAGTAAATAAAGTGAAAGTATAAGTCATGTATCTTTTCCTTCTGATGCGAACTATACTTTTGGGTTACCAAAGAGGAGACGAGGGGAGATTTCTCTTTATAGAATTATTCCGGCTAACATATGAAGAAAGAATATCAGCATTTTACAAACTTTTATGAATTAATCCATGTAGTTGTGCCATTAAGCAGAAAAACAACTAGATATTCAATGTCTTCTGATGAAAGAACATATGAGAACCTATGAAGTAGTTATGCTTAGAAAAAAAAAAAAAAATCTAAAGCTAACCAAACTTCTAACGACCAATAACGGCAGAGTGGAGAATGGAGGGGCACGATGCATAGGATGCAGTCAACAAAATTTACATCTTTGAGAAACCCTATAGACGAAATGGCCCAGAGTGGAGAATGGAGGGACACGATGCATGACACCAGAGGATGCAGTCAACAAAGTTTACATCTTTGAGAAACCCTATAGACGAAATGGCCCAGTTGCTTTGACAAGTAATTATCAATAAAAATACTTAGAAATGGAGGTAGAACTTATAGATGAGAGTCTCAGGAGACTGACCTCAATGCATGAGCAGTCACACAGTAAAACAAATGTTAGATTTATACAGTCATTAGATCTATGAGACTAGGTATTTGATATTAAGGAGTTATTATTAGTATTTTGGTGAGATAATGATTTTGTGGTTACATTTCTAAGTCTATATTTTTTGGAGATAACATGAAATATGAAATGATTTAGTATCTTTGATTTGCTTCAAAATAATAGAGGGAGAGGGTGGGTGGATGAGGAGCATAGATATGAAACAAAATTGACCATGAGGAAACATCTGATGAAGCTAGGTGAGTCCTTCTCTGTGCTATTTTTGTTGTATACTGTTTTTCACAATAAAAGGTTAAAAGAAGTCACTCTGGCTATGATGTAGAAAGTACACTATGAGAGCCAAGAGTGGAAGCAGTTAGGACGGGCTGCTGTGGTCAGCCAGGTAAAAGATGCAGGTGCCTTAAACTAGGTACTCATGGCAGGAATGAGGACAATAGCTTAGTTTTCAGGACTTAGGAATTAGGTGGAGCCAACAGGACTTGCTGGATTGATGAGGGATGGGAATGAAAGAGAAGAGAAAAATGAATTATCAATTCATCCTATGGACAGATGAATTCAGTCCTCCATTTCAGCGATAAGAGCATGGGCTGGAGTTTTTTCTCTTTTCTAGAAAGCATAATGACTTATTTGCTCTCTGCAGAATACCCAGGCAAACAAGGAGCTGATTCGCTGTGTCATCCTTTCTCAGATTACTTTTGGGGAAGAACACTGGAAATGTGCACAGGCTTTGGCCAGCCTGGCTTATGGCTACCTGACACTCAGAGGTACTTGGTTTCCCCAACTGGGTCTAGGTGGGCTGAACTAAGCCCACACATAACCACAGTGGGGGTGGGGATGACTGCGGGAGGGCCCTTCCTGTCCCCAACTTCCACCTCATCAAGAGGAGGGCCAGTCCAAGGATGAGGCAGGCAGTGTGGCAGGAATCTTAGAAATAAAGGTCATAACAATGGTGATAGTTAATTTACTGACTTAGCATGTAACAAGCTAGTCTCATTTAGCTCTGTTAGATACTGTTATTATCTGTAGTTTATAGAATGGGACACCGAGACACAAGCAATAGACAGTATCAGAGGTGGTTCAAGCCACAGGTCAGTAGGGGGAGGATAGGCAGGTACATACATTCCGCAACAGGGAGTCAGACTCAGTAATGGGACTTGAATTGCAAGGACAGAACTCAAGTTCCTAGAAGGTTTGGCTGAGGAAAAGGCAAAGCCCTCATTCTAGAGAAATGATGCTTCTGGAAGGTGCTCTGGGACAGAAGAACAAGATAGGAAGGCATTTTCTAAAACTGAAACCCAAACATAAGTTCCGTGAGGTCAAGAGCTTTGTAGTAAAGGCTCAATAACTATTAGTTGACAGGCTAATTGAGGCATTTCCGGAACCAAGGACATGGCCCACTCAAGGCTCTCTGCCCTTCAGCCAGCCATGTCCCCCTGCATGGACTGCATATACTTCTACGGTGGAACTCATTATACTGTACTCACATGAGCTCTGTTTAAATGCCTCTGCCTCTGGAAGAGAAGCTCCCTGAGGGCAGGACTGGGTCTCATTTGACCTTGTACATCCCTGGTACACAGTGTAGATCAGCAGATGTTACTGCTTGATAAAACTGAGCCAGTGGCCTAGGGCTTTTCAAGTACTCTTTGGACCTGAGAGCTTGAATGGGGTCTAACTTACAGTACAAGTTAAGTGATTTAAGGGATTAAGAGATTTAAGGGTTATAGGGGAAGTGAACCAATATACCTGGGTCATAGATATCAGAAATCAGAACTTTTGAAAAGTTAAAATCGGATTCACTTTTCAATTCTTAACCTCAGAACGTGTGTTCCTTCTTAGGGCTCCTTGGGTCCTTTTGAGCTCACATCGTTAATGTATCTTTAGATTCATTGGCTGTTCGATGTGGCAAGACCAAGAGTGGTTGACATTGGGGACAGTGATGCTGGGAGTCACAGTGAGGTCACAGTGAGGCCCTTTCAGGCCTTAAGAACATGTCCTTGTGTTCTGAGAGAAGGCTCACATGGCTAAGGAGAGTAGAGAATCCTCACTTATTGGCAGAGCAGACAGCTACCTGTCCGTGAGATTTAAGGGACACCAGGAAGGCCTTTAACAAAGCAAAATCTTCCCCTAATGGAGCTACATTGTCCCTCATTTGGAATCTCTCTATTTCAGTCAGGCTGATCTCATAAGCTCGCTGTCTTCATGATAAGAGTCCAATTTATCAATGTGCCATTTCAATACTTAGAGAGTTCCTATTATAAGTCTGGTGACACTGTGCTAGGCACTGAGGATACATACATGAATACTAGTGGTCCCTGCCCTCTGAGGCTATACAGGATTTTCATGATAGCACCATAATAGAGGCAGGGACAAAGTTCTGGAAGACAAATGAGGCAGATCAGTGGTTCTGCCACTGGGGGAGGAAGTCAGGAGAGGCTGCAGAGAGAAGATGGCATTTGTCCTATCTTTGAAGGATGAGTATAAGTTTACCTAGATTTTGAGGGAAGTGGTACAGGGTACAATGTTGGAGCCAGCCGATGAAGTAATTGAGGGTACCTAAAAGGGGGAGCATGGACTGAGGAAAAGAAAGAAGACAGACAGAATTGCAGGAGGGATCACAGAATCAAGCTGTGTCTGTGTCCCCGAGTTTATTTAGAACACACTATTCATAACATTACAATAAGAAAGACAGTAGTCAAGAATCAAGGTTAGCCAGATTACTGTATCTAGTAGAACAATGAGATTCTCACAACTCAGAACTCTCTGCTAAACTGTTTCAAGGAATGTGCAGTGACTGCTATGTGAACAGTTACCTCCCGGTTTTTCCCAGCGCTTTACAATCTCAACTTCTTACATTGTTGCCAAGTACACAAATATCCTTGTTCCTTGTTATACGATTTCACATGTCCATAAGTGACTCCCCACAGTACAAAGTTGGCCCTCTGTGTGTTGATCTGAGGAGGGGGAGCCGAGAGGAGGGCATTCTGTATGAAACTCCTCACATAGGGCATTGTAGGTGTACTCTGGACCCAAGAGGTTAGGACAGAACAGAAGACACCTTAAGACAGACGGGTCATGCCTGGTAATCGAACTGGAAAGTTAACTTGGACCCAGGTATCATGGAGTTTGGGGAATTATTAAAAGGTTTTAAGTGAGGTGGTGACATAATCACGCTTATGTTGTAAAATTAAAAAAAAAAACCAAAAACAACTAGAAGATGGTTTGAATTGGTAGGCAAAGTAGAGGTGAAGACCAGTTAGGCCATTATCCCACCCAGATGAAAATCGATGAGGTCACGGCAGTTGGAATGCAGGAAAAATAATATGTGGAACTGGTGCCATTTATGGGAGAGCTGAGGTCGAATAGAGAATGACCTGGACACTTACCTGAAATAGAGAACCTAAGAGGAAGAACAAGTTGATGGATGAAGGGGAAGGAAGCTGCTGAGTTTGGTTAGGGACAGGCTGGGTCACAGCCAGTGCGAAGCGCTCCCGGACCATCTGTGGTGAGGTGTGCTGTAGACAACTGAAAAGTGGATCTAGAGCTCAGGAACGATGTCGGTTTGGGGGGGATTAGCTTATAGGAAGTTGAGGCCATAGGAATGGATGAGCCCGATCAGAAAAAATACGTAAAAAGAGAGAAAAAGAGGGCAGAGGGAAGAAGACTAGAGAGTAGGAGTGTTGGGAATGGTCAGCAGAAGTAGAGCCAGCGAAGGGAATAGAAGAATCAGAAGGGCCAGGTCAGAGGGAAGGGAGGAGAAAGAGTTTCAAAAAGAAGTGCAGGGCGGTTTCAGCAGTTTCAGATGGCAGCGGGAGGTCAAATGAGATGAAGGCCAAAGGCAGACCCATGGATTTGGCAACCGGCAAGTCACTGGCACGTGGTTTGGCACCAGCAGGTATACTCCCTGGGTCTCGGGAGATTCTAGATTCAGGGAGACTGTGAGACTTTTGCTGAAATTCAGCCTTGAGGCAGTGGCACCTTGAACTGGAGAGGAAGGTACCGGAAGCATTCGAGGGGAATGTTTGGGTGCGCCTGGTGCAGGCTGGAGGCTGCCTCCCTTTGTTGGGGAGGTCGCGGAGGGAGGTTGGCCCTCGTCTTCTGAAGTCGGCCCTTTCCGTGCGTGGTCACAAACTGGCTTTGAGTTTTACTTTGCCAGTTAGATTCCAAGCTGAGTGGAGATAGGTAAACAGATCATGTCCCAAAACATGGTGGGAACATCATCTTTTCTCCCCTATTTCACAGTTCTTCCTACCACAGGAATGGAGAACTATTTGGGTAGTAGGTTGGAGGGGAAAGAAAGTTTTTCTGTAAAGGAAGGGTTTTTTGTGTATTTGTTTTTTCTGGATGGGAATAACAACTTCCTGATTAGACGAAATGCTCATGTAACATAATATAGCAGTGCTCAGTCTTGAACTCCAACTTTCTCAAGCCAAGCCTAGAGTGTTTTAGGATAGATTATGGTCTGAGAGAATAGCCCAGTGCCTCTTATTTCCGTTATAGTCCTTACCTAGGACTATAACTTTTTTTTTTAAGTCTGTGGTCCATGGACTAAAACAACTAAAGCTTTGAAAAATTGCAAACCTTCAAGAGGGACGAAGTGCTTGCTGAGCTCCACTTAGTTTCGTTGTCATTAATCCTGCAAGTGCTTTAGAATGGACAGAATTTATGAGCCGGCCTTCCGTGTAGGCAGGATGTGTGCGTCTCTGTGTGTTCATGCCTCGCTGCACATGTGCGTGTTTTACAGCCATCAGACCTGCTTGCTTCATTTTCCCAAGAGACTTTTCTAGCACTAGGGGATAGGGGTCAAGCCAAAAGGCTGATTTTTCTCAATAAACAGTCTTCCAGTGAGTATCTAGCGAGAGACTTATATGTGTGAAATTCCGTGAAGAGCACTTTGGGAAATACGGTATAAGGTAGTGTTCCTTCAAAGAACTTACAACCTCGTGTAAGGTGACCTACATACAGACAACTACGATAGAAGGTACCATAAGGCAGATAAGTGCCATGTAATTGATTTAAATATAGGGCTTTGAGGAAGCTGGGTGAAATCATTTCTGGCTGAGGTGGTAAGTAATGGATTCAGGGGAGGTGCTGTTCAAGAAGGCCCTTACAAAATGAGTAGGGTCTGGGTGGGCAGAAGAAGCGGTGGGTATTTCTGATGAACAAGGCCTGGGCAAAGGCATGGGGGTAGGAAGGTGCAGCGTGTGTTTAGAAAGCAGCCCGCAGTCCTGTGCCGCTGAGGTTGGGGCTGGTAAGGTGAACCTGGGAAGGAGGGCGCATTGGACAGAACACGGTGGGTTGTAAACACAGGCTAAGGAATTTGGAATTTATTTGATAGGCAAGGAGGACTGTTGGAGATTTTCCAGGAGGGGAATGAATAAATCAAAGTGAGTTTTGGAAAGTTCAAGCTAGCAATGATAGCTAGAAGGGAAGCTATCTCAGTCATTTAGGTATAAAACTAGCCTAGTGACGGAGAAAGAGAGGGAGGATAGGATTTAAGAGTCTATTATGGGCAGATACATTTATCTCTTAAACCTGAAATCCTGCTTCTGGGACTCTTTCCTAAATACACACTTAGAACCTAACATATGGATAAGATTATTCTTTGCAGCATTGTTTCTGACAGTAAAAGATTAGAAACAACCAAGTGTATACCCACCACCAGAGGACTGATACACGCAGTGGGGATGTATGGAGCTTTAAAAAGAGCACAGGGAAGCTCCATACAC